TACACAGGAGCACTCCCACTTTAAATAGAAGCAGCCCTTCAAGACCACAGTGGATAACTGATGCTCCTAAATCCACAGAGCCAGAGAAATACAAGTAAAATGAAGAAGCAGAACTATTCCCAATTAAAAGAACAAGAGAAATCCCCTGAAATAGTCTACGAGATCATGACTTCCAAAAGGGGGTGATCAAAGCACTGGAGGAACTAAAAGAGACTATGAATAGAAACAGAATACTATAAAAAGGAAACTGAAACTATCAAGAAGAGCCAATTAAAAACAAAACTCAATGGCTGAGATAAGAGCTGAGCTAAAGGCAGTCAAAAGCAGACTAGATAATGCAGAGGAACAAATCAGTGACTTAGAAGACCAATGCAAATAAAAACGATATAAGGGACCTAGGGGAGAATATAAAGCATGCCAACCTATGGCACAATAGGGGTCCCCAAAGGAGGAGGAAGAGAAAACGGGATGGAAAAGGTAGTTGAGGAAATCATGACTGAAAACTTTCCAAACCTAAAGAAGGAAACAGATACTAAGTACAAGAGGCACAGAGTCCCCAACAAGAATCCAAACAGACTCGCACCAAGACGTGTTATAACTAAGATGGCCAAAGTTAAAGACAAAGTATTCTAAAGGCAGCAATAGAAAAACAAAGTTATTTACAAAGGAACCCCCATAAGGCTTTCAGCTGAGTTCTCTACATAAACACTGTGGGCCAGAAGGGAGTGGCAAGATACATTAAGAGTCCTGAATGAGAAAAAGCTGTAGCCTAGGATACTCTATTTGGCAAGACTACCCTTTAGAAGGAGAGAGAATTTCACAGACAAGCAAAAACAAAGTATTCATCAATACTAAAGCTATACTAAAAGAAATATTGAAAGGTCTACTCTAAATAGAAAAGGAACAGGAAGCTAGAGAAATGAGAAAACCATAATTGGAAATACAATAACTACAATGAGTTGCAAGAGAATAACATGATGTAAAAAAATAAATAAAAATATCAAAATCATAAAACAGTTTCTTCTGTAGAGCACAGGGAACTATATTCAGTATCTTGCAGTAACTTATGGTGAAAAAATATGAAAATGAATACATGTATGTATATGTATGACTGAAGCATTGTGCTGTACACCAGAAATTAACACATTGTAAACTGACTACACTTCAACAAAAGTATATTAAAAAGAATCAACTAATGCCAAGACTCACTGCAAACACGTTATGTGTGATTCACATTTTTGAACGTCATTCAGCCGCATGCTACTTATTATCAGTATCTTTCACTAGCTCTGAGAATGAGGCCCATTTCTATCTTGCTTACAGGTTTCCCCCAAGGGTATCCATTTAGCTTCTGGACCTTAACGTCAATAGTGGAACTATAATTGCCATACTTAGCAGCCTCTGATGGGGCTCCTCCTTTAACTGTCCATTCCTCCTTAAATGGAGTTGTCACATCAAATGGCCTCTGTTACATCCTTCTCTTGTGAGCAGCAAAAGTTATAATACACACAATATTCAGCTGTGTGGATGTCAGCCTGAATACATATCTCTCTTAGCTTGGCGTTGCACTTTGTTGCCTCTCTCCTAGACTACCCAGAGGCCCTATTCTTTTGATATAGAAGCACCCAAGGCCATCATCAAGAAATGATGCTATCTTAGGCAATTAACCCCAAAGAATAGTTTTACAGTGCTCCCATTTCTCCTTTCCTTTTTCCTTTCTCCAAGTATAACTCATATGCAATAAAATGGACCCCATGTAAGTGGGCAAATGAATGAGTTTTTGACAAACATATCCTCTCCTGTTACTACTATCACCATTGAGATACAGAACGTGTCTACTGCCTCAAAGGTCCCTCGTGCCCTTTAGATGTCAGTTCTTCAATTGCTAGCCCAAATGATCATTTATCTGCTTTCTGACATGTTGATTCATTTCTCTTTTCTAAACTTTCAAATACATAAAATCATACAGTGTGTTTGAAAACAAATAGCTTGTTACATTGGTAATACGTAGCCCAGTAGCTGGTACAAAGTAAGCACTCAAAAAATAAATCAGAAATGAATGGACAGGATTCAAAATTCTGAGTTCAAAAAACAAAATGCCAGGCGTTGAGACCTGCTGTCTTTGGTAGATCATTAGGGCCTGACAGGCAACTCCCAGATCAAATCAGAAGAAACCTGCGTGTGGACTTTTGATAAAGAGCTGTTGGTAGAGCAAATTGCATCCCACGACTTTCAAGTCAGCTTAATTCCTTGTGTTTAGATTGAAACATTATTCAGAAGACTCCTAAATTCAGCCTGAATCTACAGGATCCTTGGACCTTTAAATGACTTCATCTTTCCTTGTATCAGAAATGCTAGATTATCCTTCAAACATACTTCCTTCCATCTCCTGACCCAAACATATAAATTGTATGTGAAAATAAATACAGTCAAACATAGAGGCAAAGGTCATGAGACCTGGTGGTGTTGGTGGCAAGTTACCTTTTATGAAGAATGAATGGCTCTGCGGGAAATCTTTACGTCTGCGGTCCCCTAAAGAAGTATCCATTTCCAACATGTCATTCACCAGTTATCCCTGATTAAAGAAAAATAGACCCTCCCCCAAACTCCAGTTGCTACCTTGACAGCCTTTTATTTGCTATGACAGCTCAACTACCTGAGATTTTTGGCTCCTATTTTGCCTAATAAATGATTTCCAGAGTGTGCGGACCACCCCCAAACTTTTTCACAAATCATTGCCAGGCACTCTACAACAATTTGGGATGGATGGCATTCAAACAATTGAATTTCTGTGCCTTGTTTCCTTATTCTTTAGCGCCCCAGGGCATATTTTACATTTATGTTTTGCAAATAACAGCATATGTTTCAATTCCCCACACTTAGTTTTCCTCCAACTCATTCCCAGTCAACAGCTTCAATCTTGTCTATGGTTTCTCGTCTGGAGTTCTGAAAATGCCCCTTCACAGAGGAACTGATTGGGAATCACAGACAAGGCTGTCAGAACTGAGTTTTCAACCCAAGTGCTTCTCAGTTCAGAAGGGAAGGAAGAAAAACTGTTTCATCATGATTTCAACTCACTTTCTTTGATGGACATCAGACAAACATAGTCAGTAGGTGGGTCAGGGCTGGCACTTCCTCCACACGTGTGTAAACGTGTACACACACAAGGAGGAGGGGAAGAGAGGAGTGTGGGCCAACCTAGTCAACCAGTAACTACTGAGAGCCACCTAAGTGCCAAGCACTGGGTAAGAACGTGGAGATAAGACCTAAACAAGCAATTCTCCAGTGAAGACACACAAATGGCCAACAGGCACATGGAGTAAATGCTCAATATTGCTAATTATCAGAGAAATGCAAATCAAAACTACAATGAGGTATCACTTCACACCAGTCAGAATATCCAGCATTCAAAAGTCCACAAACAATAAATGCTGGAGAGGGTGTGGAGAAAAGGGAACCCTCCCACACTGTTGGTGGAAAGGTAGTTTGGTGCAGCCATTATGGAAAACAGTACGGAGATTCCTCAAAAGACTAAAAATAGACTTACCATATGATCCAGCAATCCCACTCCCGGGCATATATCCAGAGGGAATCTTAAAAGACACAACAGGCACCCCAATGTTCATAGAAGCACTATTTACAATAGCCAAGGCCTGGAAACAACCTAAATGTCCATCGACAGATGACTGGATAAACAAGTTGTGATATATGTATGCAATGGAATACTACTAAGCCATAAAAAATAATAAAATAATGCCATTTGCAGCAACATGGATAGACCTGGAGAATGTCATTCTAAGTGAAGTAAGCCAGAAAGAGAAAAATACTATATGATATCACTTATATGTGGAATCTTAAAAAAAAAAACTCATTTACAAATCAGAAGCAAACTCATAGAAAACAAACTTATGGTCACCAGGGGAGGAAGGGATAAATTGGGGAGTTCGAGATTTGCAGATACTCACTAGTATATATAAAACAGCTAAACAAGTTTCTACTGTATAGCACAGGGGACTATATTCAGTATCTTGTAGTAACTTACGGTTAAGAAGAATAGGAAAACAAATATATGTATGTTCCTGTATGACTGAAATATTGTGCTGTACACCAGAAATTGCCACAACATTGTTAACTGACTATACTTCAATAAAAGTAAAATAAAAAAAAAGAACATGGAGATAAAGTAAATGTCTAAAAACTCAACACACAACTTCATAGGATTCTGGTATATATATAATACACTCTTCTCTTTGAAAGGGTAGGGTTTGCATCTTTTCTCTTTTTCCAGATCCCACACTTCCAATTCACAGATTCTTACCAAACAGGTACTTGGTGAATATGGCTGCCTGCTCATTCCACATCGATCTCCAACCTGCCCATTCTCACCTGGGAGGCTGTCATCACACACTGACACTCAGAAAGATTTAAATGAAGATTCTTGCCACATCCTAAATCACTGCCCAAGGAAGATTTAGAGAAATTTAGAACACAAAATCATTTCTGGGGCTGCATTTGAGGGCTATTTGCCTGAAATGAAGTTTTGAAGGAAGCGATTGGTGTAGGAAAATAAGACAACATTCATCGACTTGAAACAAGCTGCAGGCGCAAATCCACTAAGTTACTGAGACGGTCAGCTAGCGGAACAGTAGTGTCAGACTAGTTCTATGCCAGAACTCACTGTGTAAGATAAAATGTGTGCATGGAGAGGGGGGTTACCTCTGCCCTAGAGAGAAATCTGCCCAGGCACTGCTGGTCCCGACTCGATGCTGTCTAGGTCTTTACTAACACTTGCAGATCTGGTGTGTGCCTTTTCCTCTCAGCTGACAGTGATGACTCAGAGCATTACCTAAATCTCACTGCTCAGAAATCGGAGGAGATTGCTCTTTTACCCCACCTAGTGAGATGGCAACTCTGAAGACCATTCACAGGAAGAGTGTCATTTTCAAAGCCATCTGGGTTGTACACCTTAAGAATCCTTGTCAAAACATCAAGAAACTCTCTTGCAAACCAAAAGGAAGGAAACACTCTTGAGATCTATATAGCCATGGGACTGATGTTTGAATTCAAAAGAGCAATTCCATAATGAACACTCACTGCTCTTTGTAAAGAACATTACAGCAAGGTTGACAGACACTGACAGTTTCTTAGGTCAGTTACTGAAGACGCTTGGCTCTGAGTGTCATTTCACTAAATTATCTAATGTATGAACCATGCTTCGCTATCAACTGTTTGTCAGTCATGTCAAAGAATGATTTCAGTGCTTCCTGATCATGTTCTAGGAAATAACTTCAAGGGGGCTTAAACTCTGGGGAACACTCAAACCTTCTGAGCCAATATGGCTGTCAATCCTAACAGGGCATCCAAAGGAGTGTGGGACCCGCGCTGAGATGAAGATGGCAAAATTCAGTCTCAGTGCTGATTCTGGTTGGCTGTGTAAATTAAGCCGACTCAGGGAGCCTGACAAGGGGATGGTAGACTCTTAAAAATGAATCTCACGGGACATAATTATGTGAAGATAATACAATCAAACAACAGCTAGAAAATACACAAATGCACACTTACCACCCACCTGTATTTGGCATGACTAAGCGTCCTCCTAAGTGGCCAAAGACACCAGTGGTCCGCAGTTCCGTCCTTGTAGGAAGTGATGACAGATTCTGGATGTAGGGTGTTTTGTTTCTGGGATGCACTGCAGTGAAGCCGCGGTTGTTTCCATGGGGAAAAGTCCCGGAATGATTCTTGCCATGGTACTCAGCTCTCTCAGACACTCCCAGGGAAACCATGAATGAGCTCTGAACTTTCACTTTGATGTCCGACAGAGGGTTAAAGAGTGAGGACTCCGTCATGAGCTCCTTGTCCAGGGGGTCCTGGAGACAGATGGGCCCACTGTACGTTCGGCTCACTGTGAGGTCAGGTTGCAGGGAGGAATTCAGGAGCAGGGAGTTACCTGCTGAAAGAAGGCGGACCTGTCACTCAGAAACTGGGACACACCATCACAGCGGCTCCCTGACATCTGTGCTCGCTGGCTGAACAACAGCACTGCCTGCGGGCTGCTTGGGTCAGGGCTGGCCCTTCAGACCCACCCCAGGCATGGAGAGCTCCTCTCCTGGGCTGAGTGACCAGAGCCTTGGACTCGGGAGCTCTGTTTTTAGTCAATTTTCTGAACATCACTGACCAAAATCATTCACGTTCCAGAGTCCCTTACACGGCATCTTTCCAAAACAAGCCGCTCCCCCAGACAACGAGCTCAGGCGTTACTGCTTATGGGATTACTTTAACTGGCAAAAAGAGAGGCTTCAAAAAGAAAAAAAGGAAGAAAAGAAAGATGTTTTGTAAGCCAGTTCGGAGCGAAAATAACATCTGTTCATTTTAAACGGCAGGAGATGACACAGCGTGGTGACGAGGCAGGGCTGCTCATAACCGAGGCTGCGCTGGTGCCAGCACATCTCACGTGGGATTCTGGTCAGTTTCTGGAGCTGGGGGAGGAAATGATGTGTCCTCAGAGCACAAAGGGTCAGGGGACTTCACGAATCGCTCCATGTCTCAGTAGCCAATTTGCTCTAACAATGTATATGTGACTCTGAGATGGAAAGGAGGTACCACACGAGGGTGGTGAGACTCAGCTCCTACAAGGGGAGCAGCTTGGAATGGCCTCCTTTCTAACTCAAATGGGAAAAAAAACCCCCAATCCTTAGAAAAACAGGAGAAATTGGACTTTCTCATCTGTTGAGGCTTACCAATTTTCTTCTCTGCCAAATATTAAAAAGAAATGCTGTGATATTTTCTCGTGATGAAGTCATCTCATTTATTAGTAAATAACAGAATAACCCTCAGTCCCAAGCCGCCCACCCTTATCAGTCCGTCAACGTGACATCTCAGATTGAAGCCCAAACCACATTAAACAATTTTCCTTCAGGGCCTGACAAAAATGTTTAAAGTAAGGTATTTTTGAAAATGTGACAATTCTAGGCCATACTGTATTAGCTTCTATTGTTTTTCCATTTTCATAAATGGTAACAACGCCAGCAGGAAATCGATAACCCTGACTTTTCCCAACTCTTTGTTCTGATGCTCTAAGAATCCAAAATCATAGAGGAGGAGGTTCAAAATGAGATGAAAGAGCCCTATAGATCTAAAGGCACCTTGATGGTACATTTTTTTTTTTCATGTTTGAGGCTCTTGGGCCAAGACACAGACACAATTAAGGAGCTCTGCTTTTTAATAGAACTGCATCGAATGCTACAGGTACCAGCCTTACTCTGGTTTATGGTTGGCCCAGGTAAGAAGCAAGAACCTTCATCTCACATCTGAAAAGAGCTTAGAACAGGAGTTTCCACTGACAAAGGAAACAGCAGACCCCAGACTCTTACGTCTCTTCTTTCAACCACTTACCTTCTGAAGTTTAATGTTGTAAGTTGAAGTATAGTTGATTTACAACGTTGTGTTCGTCTCTGGCACCCAGCATAGTCAATCAGTCAATTTTTCATTACTGGTTATTACAAGCTATTGAATATAGTTCCCTGTGCTATACAGGAGGACCTTGTAGTTTAACTTCTGGCTACTCTTAAAAGAGCCTCCTTTTTTTTTTTGTTACAAAGCACAGCAGTTTATTCTTTACATTTAATGACTTCTCTGTTTCTGGTTTGCACTCTTTGTACACTCAGCCTCATATTCATATTGAAGTAATTTGGAAAGAGCCTTCTATCTTATGTAAAGTCTAGAAGCAAAAACATTTCTATCATTAGATTTAATCTAACCTGAGCACTTAAGTGGAAAATGCCTGATTATGACAGTTTGTACATACGATAGAGTCCACAGTTAAGGAAAGCTGGCTGCCAACTTGAAGGTAGGGTGGAATTTTAATCAAGGGCTCTGCTCATAGCACTTGTTTTGTGAGATTCTTGGTGGAAAAAAAATGGTAAAATAAGTTTGGAAAGGCTACATATTCTTACAGATTCACAATACACTTACCCTCCGAGAGGTCCCACAGTAAGGAGGTGAGTTTGAGCTTTGCAAGTCAGCGTTCCCCAGACACCTAGGTCAGGGGATGACCCCTCCCACCTGCTGCCTGGCGCTCTAGGGAGCTCACTGGCATCTTGTACCAAAGCAAGAGGAGACACAGCTTCTAGACTAACACTCACTGCACTTACTGAGTACCTTCCATAAGCCAAGGGTTTACAGCACATGTTGTGCCAGGTAGTTTCATCCTCACGAGACCCCTCTGAGGTGGTGGGAGTACTCTCATTCGACATCATGAAAATTAAGACTAAGGGAGGATCAACGATGAACTCAATCTTATAGCTACTGGATTCAGATCTACCCACTTCAGAGCCTCTGAATTTGTGCATGAAGCTGCCTCTCACACTGCTGTACATCCTCTATGGTCAAGTGTTATGGCCTCAGTATCTTATCATCTGATGGAAATACAGTTCTAGTTGTTTTATACGGTATAATGATCAGAGTTCTTCACTGGATTTCTTTCTAATTAAATATATATACCAAGCTCTAAACCCAAATTAAGGGGATGTGTCCCCATCTGAGGCTGACCAGACTCAGACCTGAAGCTCAGAGGCCAGAAGCGAGTCGCAAGCGGTCGGGCACCTTGTCTCCCAGTTTTTAGCATGCTTGGGTTTCCACTTCACAATCCTGTCTCTACTCAATCACTGCCAAGCAGCAAGCCTTCCTGTCCTGGGCTGCAGGCACTGCTGACAAACAACAAGCAGAAATAAAGGTGACAGTCGTGACCACGAGGGTCAAGGTAGAAGACTTCATCCTCAGAAGACAGACAGTTTCATTTTTTTCTAAAATAAAAGCTAGACGTGTCTCATCCCCACCTCCCACTCAGGACAGAGTCGGTTCGTGTAAGAGAATGAAACGACTCTGTTTTAGAAACGAGCATTGCTAAAGTCGGACATGATAAATTTTCCTTCCCCAACACAAGACTGCCTCGAGCTGGCAACAGCAGAGAGTCATTTAGGCTGGGAAGTTCGTTTTTTCCCTGGCTAAGTGGCCCATCATAGAGCCTCTAAAGTCCTTTTACTTACTTTAAAATAAAAGCAACAAAAAATAACTCCACCTAATAAAGTGTCATAAATATGCCTTAGCCTGGGGTAATCAGTATTTTAGTTAACTAAATACATATCTCCACAGCTGGCTTACTAAAATAGAAAGTTGGATAATCTGAGATTAAAGAACTCGTTATTCTCACTGCACATCAAAAATGGAAATGCCTCACTTCAAAGGTTGGGAATAGTAAATTGAGATCTGCTGGTCCTCACGGTAGCCAAGGACTTGGGCAAACCACCCCACAGAGCCTGGGGTCCTAACGGGTGAAGACAATTTGGCAGCAGTCCCTAGTGCCCAGAGCTACCCTCACACAGGACCAAAGAACACCAGGGTCCTGCATGACTGCGGTCAGTCTGTGGCCCTGAGGATGAGGGGCTGGGGGGCCCCAGGCCGCTGACCTTGACGGACTGTTTTGAAGTTGAAGGTCTGGAAGCCACCTGTCAATGCAGACGAGTCGATGACGTCCACGCCATAGTCACTCTGGCTCCGTCTGTAGAGGGTGACGCCAATGACCAGGACCGCAACAGCGACCACTGCAGCGCCCAGGCCCGAGTACAGAGCAATGTCGCTGGCATTCTCCATGCCTGAAAGACACAAGAGAAATCCTAAATGGCCAACGCGGGCGCAGAGCCGAAGAGCCACCCCAGGACATCAAATGAAGTGCTATTGGGTTTTTGGAGCTACTGCTCAGAGAAAACGACAGATGCAGCCAGCCCAGCTGTACTGCCCTTTCACACAATAATCATGTTTCTAAAAGACCCTGAATAAATCCAAGGGATGCTAGGTAAATATCTTAATGGCATGAAGGCAGCTTACCACGTAATGGATTCTTGAAGAGAATCAATTTTGCAAAGAATAGAATAATTTTCAAGGAAAAACAGGCCACTCCTTAATTTGCTTGTTTGAGGAAGTCCTACTGCCCTGCCAAGTGTTCTTTACATTTCATCTTTCCTGGAGGGAAGACATGAGGTCCACGTACAATGACAAAATATGGGTGAACTCCTTTGCTTGTCTATGACCTGGGGTGCATGCATCCACAGCGGTCTAAGGTGAAAAGGTAACACACGGTCTATGAGTCAAGAGAGAGGAGACCAGAGCTCACAAATATGAATTTCAGCTTTGGCACACATCACTCAGTTCAAGAGAACATTGACAACATCGGTTGAAGGTATTTACAATCATTATGAGCGACCTTCTGTTGCCAGATATGAAAAGGGCTTCATCCCACGTGCTCTTATGTCCATGGTGAACGTTTTCTAGTGCCAATTAAATGCTCGACTCTAATACTTTTTGGTGGAAGAGGACTGGTCTCTAACAGGGCACATGCTGTTTCTCCCATACCTCTCCTACTCCATCCTATTGAATGCATGGGCAAAGCAAAAATAAAGCGTTAGTTTGAATTTAGAATGTGGGTGTCTCCCCAACCCCCAAGATACATTGCGGCTACTTTCCAACCCTTTTGCTAGATGCACACTGGGTGTGGTTCATTCCTGAAGAGATCCATAATAGTTCCTGCAACTCAGCTTGGCGTTTACCCAGGACTGCATGAGCCTGAAAAAGGACTTATCTTGGAAAGTGTATAAAAATGGAAGGTGGCAAGTGCTAACTACATAAATGATTTCCCTACAGATTATGTGGTAGGTACACTCAGTAGGTCCAAAAGTAATTACTATGTCACCCCTGTTGGTCTTAGCAGATAAAATAAACCCTTCATATATTTATTTACCTTGTAATTGCATGCCATTTACTATGTGTTCACTGCACCCTAATACGGTACTTATGTTATCAAATGAGTAGAGCTAACTGTACAAGTAAAGTAAATTTATTTTCAACAAAGTTAGTGGACTATAAAATAAGGTGCTACCAAATTAGAGTGAACAAGGAAATCAAGCAGAACCAGTTCAGTAATAGGGCAGTAAACACATAAAGGTAATTCGCAAGGGAGAGCACAGCCATCCCAAAGAATGGAATCTGAAAGGTCAGAGGATTATCAGACACTTAACAGCCACAACAGCCTATGAACTGAGAAACAGGGTGTGATTTAGGCTTCAGTTCCAACTGCATGATGGTCCAAGAGGGAGAGGGATGGAGGCACTGGTGGTGGTTTTCCTGACTACCCAGAACCACGGACATGACGACTGATGCCAACGCCAATGTGCCAATGTCCGCCTATGTCACATGGGGAGTGAGGAGGGCAGCTATCACCCACTGACACTTCAGCCACTCTCTCCTCAATTCAGTTCCTTGGAGGGAGCGATTAGAGAAGAGAGGACACAGGTCACAACGGGTTCAGCAAGCCTGGGTACCAGGAGCAGTGAGAGGACTTTGGATGGAAACCAATTAGCCTTTTCCCCTCTTCTTCCTTCCAGTTCCATGGGCGCTGCCGACTGATGACACCATTGTCTTAAAAGGTGTATCTGGGGAGAACACACCTGCTTCGCAACTGAGCATACACTGAGAAACAGCCGGGCAGCGCACTGAGTGCAGCTGCTCTGCTGCTGAGCTGGCAAAGTAGAGACAAAGACATCTTTAGCTTCCCAGGTACTCAAATAGGAAGGATCAGGAGCCAGAGGACGATGAGGGCGAAAATACTTCTGCTGAAAATGCACATCACTAGACATGAAATCCTGAAACAAAACTAAGAAGCAGAACATTCTTGGATTCCTATCTTGTTCATTATGTTTCCACCCTTTTGCTACCCAGGTAACCAGAATTCTCCATCCTCCAGATACAAGTCCTGTTTTAGGAAAGAACCCCTACATAGGCCTTCAGACTCTGGTATAAATCTTCAGACAGCTCATCGCGTTTCCTGTCCTGGGGATATCTGCAGGATCTATTTAACTTAAGGGAATGAAATACTAAATTATACAATTTTAAAAAATGAATATGGAGGCTTTGAGAAGGGTAGGGAAAGAAGGGAGAGAGACCTGCATCTCAAGCACTTGGTGGGACCACCTGATCTAAAAACCAGAAGTCAATGGACTCCTACGGAAAGGTAAGCAAAGTGAATTTGTTTCACAAGAACAGTCTGTCCTGGGGATTCGAAGGTTCAGGGTCTCATCATTTCATTCATTCAACATGGATTAGGTGAACGTCAACCATGAAGTGGAAGTGAGGATACCTAAGTGAATTAACACATGGTCCATATTCTCAGTTAGTGACAGGATCCTGCTATCTGAGCGCAGCTACAGAGGTAGACACGAGTCCTCAAAGCCACATGTGCATGTCTCAAGAGCTTTAATCAGTCATCCTCACTCACAACGCAAATTCTTCTGAAGCTGAGTCATCATGTTTCTTCTTCCTCTCATTATTTTTCTGCTCTTTGTCTACCTGTTTTTACTTCATCTCATTTTTTCTTCTC